CGCTGTGACTTTATTATTAGATGTGGCAGAGGCTAAGTTGTATTTTTTATTTTTGCCTGACCTTGGCCCAGTCAGGCCGCGGGCAAAGACCTTGAACTTGAGCGGAGAGCCTTGACACTGAATCGGAATCGTGGCAAATGGTGGCTCAATGCCATGCTGTGCACGAGGCGCGCTTTTTGGCTTGGTCAGATTTCAATTCAATTGCCAACAGACAGCCAGAGGCCGCCCCAGGCCCAGGCTTTGACATGGCCCAAACGACAGCTGTTGCCGGCTCCCTCTTGCCAGTTGCCGGCTCCCTCTTGCTGGTTGCCGATTGTCGATTGCGTGGCCTTAGCAGCGCTTTCATTGTTCGACTTAAGTGCCATGGATCGCACACATATTCCAGTCCCTACGTCCCTCGGCTGCTCGTACATAAAAATAAACCGCAACAAGCTGCCAACTGGCAGCCGGCAGCCGGCAACTGGCAACTGGGCGCTCCTCACGTGCTGCGTGTGTGCCAAAACTCTGCCTTTGGCTTTACCCCGGTCTCTCTCTGCCTGGCCTCGTCTCGATTACGTTTCAGTTTGGGACATCAAAAGTGGTGCCAAGTGCTGTTGCTGCCGCTGTTGCTGCCGGGGACGGACAAACAGTTGGACGACAAATTGTCTGCCTGCTGCCAGTTGCCAGTTGCCAGTTGCCAGCTTGTCCGCTCGCTTGGTCTGGTCTGGTCTGGTCTGTTCGGGTCTGGTCTGCTGCCATGCCGTGGGTCTGTTTTTTACGAGCCGCATGTAAGCTCTTTGGGTATCATAGCCATGGCATCGCCCGAGCTCACGTAGGAGTCGCCTGTCGTCTGCTGCTGCTGTTGCTGCGGCTGCCGTTTGGTAGCCGCAATCACAGTCCCTGTCACGGTTGGTGGTGCCTCGCAGCCAGCTACTGAGGTAGCCGCCATGGCGCCGACATGTCCACCCCTCTCTCTCTCTGCGCTGTGCGTTTTTTTTCATATCTGCTTTTCATTTCGTATTTTTTTGTTGTTGTTGCTGGGTTTTGACTGATGGCCAAGGTGTGGCCAAGTCGCGGACATGCCTTGACATTGTGTGGCCAGCGTTAACCGGGCGGCAACTGTGCAGGCAGCAACCCGTTGAGCGGCTTTTGAGCGGCGCCTAATTAGACGTTAAGTGCAGCGTGCGGCATCCATTCAAGTGGGGCAAAGCCACAAGCCACACTCTGTGCGCCAACGCCCTGGGGGGGGACGAGGCGCAGACCCTGTCCAAACATTGTGACAGCTGATTGCATCGCCTCGTTGTGTGCGAGTGTGTGTTGACTAATTGCGTTGCACGTTGCACGTTGCCAGTTGCGAGTTGCCACACGGGCTGTTCGGCACGTATACAAAAAAGAATTCAATTCATTTGGGCGTCGGAATTGGGGCGTGGGTGTTGGCTTAAAAATGCTAAAGCCAAAATGCCGCAGCCTACACAGTGCAACATGGTAAGGTAGCAGAGTTTTTTAAAAAATAGAAATTTAGGGAAATTCTAAATGATTTTATAGCTAACAATAGACTCGACTTAATATTATTATTTTACTCTTTTATGATTTTTTCTTCAGAATGTAGTAACACATTCCTTATAGATCCGACCTTTTGCTTAGGGAAAATCTGCACTAATTCAGATAAAGTCTTTCAATTTACATAACAGGTTCGACCAAACTCTGGCTGGACAGTGTAGTACAACGATAGAGCCGAGCGATGTCCGTCAGGAGCAGCCTACATGCAGATATGCAGATTGCATGACGCGGCGGCAACAAGTTGCAAGTGGCCGTGGCAGTAGCCATGGCCATGGACCGAGACCGAGACCGAGACCGAGAGAGGGACGAAAGCCGGGACCAGGACAGGGTCAGTCGACGGGCCGACAAAGGCCGACACGGACTTGAACAATGGGCGCAGCGCAGCGTTTGCCAAAAATGCTGGCAACTACATGCAAACATGAATGCGGCAGCTGACGTGGCGCGTTGCACGTTGCACGTTGCGCGCTGCACGTTGCCATTGGCTGTGTAGGTGTCGGAGAGTTGGAGCTAAATGGAGGAGCGACGCTTTTGGCGTTGTCCTTGCTAAATGCCGAATCCCGACCGCGTGTTGTTGCGGTGACTATTTCATGTTTTGTGTTGCTTGTTGTTCTTTTTTTTTTCCTTTGTTTTGCTCGTTTTTGGGGGCAGGCCATAAAGGTCACGAGCTGCCAATGGCAATGCAATGCGACCTGCATTTTTGGGCAACGTGGTGGCAGCCAACACTGCCAGCTGCTGTTGGTCACTGGGACAACCAGCGAAACTTCACTTTCACCCAGCCAGCCAGGCAGTCAGGCAGCCAGGCAGGCAGGCAGGCAACAAAAGGCTGCAACAACAACGGCAACATGGACAAACTTTGCAACTGTTGCCGGAAAGACAGCAGCAACAGCAGCAGCGGCACACAAAATGCCAACGGGCTGGCAACTGGCAACTGGCAACTGGCAACGGGCAACTGGCAATAGACTAGAACGAGAACGATGCCCGAGTGCGAGACGGAAAGGAAGACCAAGTCGAGCAGCAAGTCGAACACCAAGTGCCACAGCAATTCAAAGGCAACCGCAGCAAAACTTAAAGAAGCTGCCGCCGTCGTCGTCGTCGTCGTCGTCGCCAGTGTCAATGTCAAGCGGCGCAACGTTAGTGGCACGCAGTGAGAGTCAAGCGGCAAGGAACCAGCGAGACTTGTTGCACATTTGGCATTTTATGGAGCAACGTGATTTGGCTGCGACTCTTACTGCTGGCTGGCTGGCAGCTAAGGATGTGGCATGTTGCCTGTTGCCTGCTGCCTGCTGCCTGCTGGCATCGTTGTCTGTCTGCGTTTTTATGGGCTTGCCAAGGAATGTCAAGTTGCTGTGCTGCGTGTGTGTGTGTGTGTGTGTGTGTGTGTGTGGCCATGACGACATAATCAACGCTTCATTGACGGGACACCCTGGTTGCGAATGTGGACATAAACACAGCTGTTGCCGCCGCCGTTTTACAAGACAAATCGTCAGATTAAAGTGGCACCAACAATGGGGTGTGGCATGCAACATGCCGCACAAGGACAGCAGCAGCAGGATAAACTCTGTAGCCATATGAATGACTCTCAAGTTTGTTTTACTTTTTACGACCATCCTCTGTTGCGGCTGCGACAATTTCTTACAAAGGTTCCCGAGTTGAAGACACGCACTCACACAGAGACAACAAGCATAAAGTCACGAAAGGAAAGTTGTTTTGAAGACATCCATGAACTAAATGTGCTCTACATGCACAGATTTGGGCCAGGAATGTAATTGGCAGCTAGATAAACACAGTTCATAGATAAACGATAAAAGTTCTATGACTTGTGGCACATTTCTTTACGCTTAAATTTGGTATTAATGAGGATCTCAATGAGAAGAGTGTATTAGCTGTAGGACTAAAAGAGTTTGTCAGTCTTAATGTAACTCTCTTATTATAATGAAGGAGTTAATGTAGAGCTTTAATCTCATGATGAAACTTGAATTTGTGCAATATATTCCGTAACACATTTCATTCACATTTCACAGGCTTTATCAGAGAGGCAGTTACTTTGACAGTTTATCAACACTGGAAAAATAATAGTTGATTGTATTTAACAAATTTTCCACAATGACAAAAACTATATTTTCTAAGCCGGCATTAGAACCATTCGAGTAGAAAAAGTGTGGTTCAAACCCTGGAATTTAAAAACTGTTTGCCTACGATTCCATTTCGAAATTTAAATAAATCATTTTTATCCCCAAAAATGAAAGCTTAAGTTGATTATATTTAAATTTCGCTTTTTACCAAAATGCTTTTATTTCTTATTACACAAGAAACCCACGCAATATCATAAAGAGACTTAGCCAAGCAAAGCAATGACAACATAATCGGAGATTAAATGACAGGGTTTGGGATAAAAAAGCAGCTGGGTCTCGTTTTTGGGCTGTGACGCAGTGAGGAAGTCAGGAAGTGTGTGAATGACTATTAAATTAGACAACTTTTTACGAGGCACGACCTTGAAAGAGGGAAACCCGGCAGCCCGGCAGCCCGACAGCCCGACAGCCCGGCAACCAGGCAACCCGGCAGCGTATGAAAGTTGCGTGTCGAACCCATGGATGGCTAAGGTCAAAGTCAAAGCCCAATGTCAGCCTCTGTCTAGCTGCCGGCAGTGTACCCATCGGACCGATGGTTGATTCCCCAGTCGCAGACAGTCCCTCCTCCCACCGCAGCTCCCGTCTGGCCAACAAACAATGCTCGTAAGTAGCTAGCTCGACCGGGTCTGTGCCTGCGTCTGGGTCTGTGTCTGTGTCTGTGTCTGGGTCTGGGTCTGCTGCTGCTGGTTGCGCCGCTGTGTTTGGGTCTTGCTACGTGCGGCATGTTGCTACTTCAGTGGCCGCCTTTGGGAGCATAACTTTGTCTGCCCTTTTCCCGATTTTTTGCGCTGCGGCTGCTGATGAAGTTGCTACCAAAGAGAACGGCAAATGGTTGACCCCAACGCTTGCCACTGACTCTGCGAGTTTGCTACGTGCAACGCGTGGTGGATGGATTATGCTGCTGCTGCTGGTGCTGGTGCTGCCTTTGGCTTTTTGCGCACTCAACTTTTGCTGAATAGAGGGTAGCAGCAGGCAGACTGAAGCCTGTTGCCCATTTGGCTGCCTGCCTGCCTGCCTGCGCAAACAATGCGGATGCCCCGGCGTGATGACGTGGAAAATGCGGCGCATGCCGCGGCAGGCATTCAAAATGGGTCTGCGGACTGAGTCAGCGTTTGGGTCTGGCTCTGGGACTGGGTCTGTTCAACCGCAGACAAACTGTCTGCTGCTGCCGCGTGACTTAATTAGCTTGCTTGACTGTGCCGGCCTGTGGATTGTGATTGCGATTGCAACTCCGACTTCGACTGCGACTGCGACTGTGGCGCAATCAAAGTCAAGTGGCTGGAGGCGTTAACCAGTAGCTGACGTTAGAGTAAAACAGATGGATGCACTTACCCCAGTTGTTGGTGTTCCATTGCCAGCGGCCACAGCTGTGGCATTGACGACGGTGGCATTGGCGCCAGTTGACTTGCCCTTGCCGCGTCCGCGCTTGGCGTCTGGACGAACAGGTTGGCCGTCGGCGCCGTAAACGATCTGAAAGTTGAAGAAATGCAACGGCAAAAGTTTTCTTAAGTAACTTGATAATTTCCAAGATATTAAGATAAATGTTGCTCAAGCCTTGAGCTGAATTGGGTTTTCGGTAAGCGGCATATCTTATTGACAATTCTTAATTATTAACGCTTTCTTCATGTCATTAAATATGCTAGTCAGAAGCACAGTAAAATATTTATTTACTAATAATTCAAAATGCAAAATGAATTAACTGTTAGTTTGCAATAACTATAGTCAATTTAGGCATATATTTATCAATTAATCTTATTTAATTTTTAAGTAATGAAAACGGATTAATATTTAAAATTCCCAATTTTTCATTTTGCCAATTTTTGAATAGCCAAGACACCAACCAGCGCCTTTTACAGCACCATCTAATCCCGAGTGCTAACAGCACAACTGCTTAGTAAATCCAACTGCTTACTTGTGAACTACTTGCTAGTGCTCATTATATTGGTTCCTGTTCTAAAGCAGTTGATGACATGCAAAAGTTTTATTTTAAGCAGTGTATGTTCATGGTACAAGAGGTTCAAAGAAAGCAGTGTATATCAAGCAGTGTATAGTGACGCTGCTTGTTTGCTATGTAGACTTGGCAGTACTGTTAACGCGCGCGTTTTGCTAGCGATTTCTCCTACACTGCTTGCATTTTGTGACAGCTTCTTTTAATTTTGTTTTTTACAAGATTAATAAAAATATTAAGAAAACTTATGAGCATACATATCAGTTATACAAATAAACCATATTTAACTTAATATGTGAAAGGAATAACAGTAAATGTCACTGACCCAGCAGCTGTTACACTCAGCTAAACGCGTTCATCTAATTTCAGGGCAGGGAGATCGAGATTTTCTCGTAAGATGAGCCTCAGTTAATGCCAATAAGCATGACAAATGCTGCACATATTTTATTCCAAGACTTATGGCTGTGACTTCATATAAAACCGAACTCGGCATCTATTTCCGGCGCGGAGTCATAAATATAATTCCCAGAGCCTGAGACGCGGCCGCGTCTTAAAGTGCTTCAGCGCACAGGAACCATTAAGTAAAGTGCTGAGCATTGAATGCGCAACGGTAAATGGAAAATTGAAAATCCAAATGGAAATTTAGTGCCCGCCCACACGCACACACGCAAGCATCGTCTGTGCGCGCAGGCGCGCAGGCGTGGCGTCCCAAAATAGACGCCGCAGACGCAGGCGACATATGGGCCCAGACGAGCGCCAACTGGCAGAGTGGAGGAGTGCAGAGAAGAGCGGAGGACAGGATAGGCCTGGGGTCGGGGTTGGAATGGGGATGGGGTACTAAAGCAGGCAATGTTATGTGGAAATGGACGTGGCTGCTTCGCAGGAGTGCTGCTGGAATGCCCCCGTCCCTGCGGTGCCGCATCGGGTGCCCTGAGTGACAGACGGCTGCGCCTTAACGGTAAATAAGCAACGCCCGGCAGATGCAGCAGCAGCGGCACAAAATGCCGTAGCTGCTGGCTGCTGACTGTGGCAACATTAACAATGTTGGCACGCGCAGGCGCGCACACAGACCAGGCGGTAGCAGGGGGAGCAGAGCGGGAGCACATGTTGCCAGCACATCAACATGAACATCTCCGTCAGGGGCTGCGCATGTCTTGGGCATCCGCAGCAGCATCTACTACATCCACATCCACTTTTAACAGCAGTTGTCATTTCGGAAGCAATTATTTTAATGCAAGCTGCAAGCGTGCCATGCTCCCAGTCCCAGACCCAGTCCAAGTCCCATTCCCATTTCCATTCTCGTTGCCAGTCCCAGGCTCCAGACGCAGACGCAGTCGCAACAGCCCCCCGAAATGACAGCAGCAATGACGACAAAGACGACATCTTGTCGATGTCACATGGGCTTGGATTTTGGTGCGCATTACACACACTAGCACACACACACACACACATGTAGATGAGGCTGGGGGCTGCTGATCTAAAATTAGTCAAGCTAAGAGTTTTCAGAGGTGATTTGCTGACTTTTTTCTGGAAACTGATATGCTGCAGCATTCCCAGAGTACAGTTGTGCCCAAAACACAGCAAGTGGCAAGAGCAGGCGGATCGAAGAGTGACAGAGCAATGCGCAGGCTCCATTCAAATTGATCCCTCACACAGAACATTTCAAGTGAATTCCCAAGTGAATTCCACATCTATTTTATAGACTCTTGTCTATTGCGCCATTATTTAAGGCAATTTTAAAGTTGTCCTTAAATAATATGTGCACATAAATTGTCTTTTATTTCAGAGTCAGTAAAGCTTTCATTTAAGCTGCTCGCATAAACTTAACAAAGTTTAAACAGTTGAGCTTAAGCCAAAGGCATTTTGAGCTGGAAAACATGGCTTTTGGTTTGTTGAAATAAATTTTAAAGCTGGCCGAAATGGCTTTCCATTTCTTGAATATTTAAACTGGAAAATGCGGCTTTGGATGCGACGTTTAAACAAAGAACTTAGCTGATTATAGTATTTAATTGATATGCACCTTGAATAATACTTGTCAGCTTCTGATTCAACTGATTTTTATCTATTAGTTATTAATTTATGCTTGAAAAAGGCTTAAGTACCTTTAAATACCAAAAAAGGCTGTGAATTGGGGTCAGAGCTGGCCCTTCGTATGGTTTTTGTTTCTAGACCATTCGGTATGCCGTTTAGACATTTTAGCTTTTAATTATTCTTTTAAAATTTATGAATTTACTTAGGTTGACAAAATATATGCACAATATGCCTTGAGCTCAAGCCCTGTCTGTATTTTATTATACAAACTAATGTACTTATCTTCAAATTGTCATTAGTGGAACAATAATATATTTAATCAATTCACTTTCAATATATATTTTTCCGATATATTTCGATTGCGCCTCGGCAAATATATTAATTTTTAATTTAAGCTAATAACAAGCATAATAATTTCCATTTTTTTATCCGTATAAGCTTAGGCATTAAATATCAAACTTTACTAAATCTTTATTCATATTATATTTAATATTTTATTATATGACGCAAAGAATATAAAAAACAGCGACCGGAAGTAAAAGCTGTTAAGAATCAAATGAAGAATCTTTCAAAAATAGCCAGCTCCTAGACGCAACACCAATACACGCACACACACACACGCACACGTAATCGAGTTAGTCGCAGGCGTTGCTAAGCATCCGTGTGCCACAAGGCCGACGACCTACAAAAGTCGCCTGAAATTGGGCCAAAAATAGGCAAGCACACTCACACACACACACACACACACACACACACACACACACACATTCGCACACAGCAGCTGCTTCCTGCTCCTGTATTCATTCAGCTTTTTGTTTTCCTGCCACTCACATCCTGCGCCGAGCCGCTGACAGTTTATGAGCTGCAGACGAAACTGAATCAATTTGGAAATCAATTTTTTAGTTGCCACTTTTTTTTGGTCGACTTTATTAGCGCCAACAACTGAAAACGCATGTTGGCTTAATTGCCGTTATTAGCCTTTATTTTTTGTTGTTGTTGTTGTTTTTTTTGTACTGGCTTCAACAAAGAAGTCTCGATAGCAGCTGCGACACAATAATGAGACGTAATTTGGGCTCAGATATTGTTGTTGTTGTGGCTGCCGTTTTGGACAGGCTCAAAAAGCCCGAGGGCGACAAAACTGTGCAACAGGTAGCCAACTTAAACCGCAAAGGCCACACGCACACACACACACACACACACTGGCAAGCATTTAAGAACCTGACCTAGGCCAAGTGGATTTCGGGTAGGTGCCGTCGCGCGCGCACTCAGAAAAGGCAAACAGAAATAAGCACAAAAAGTGGAGCTGAGTAGCCCTATCAAAATGCCAAAAGCCCGCACATGTAGACTGTAGACTGTTGCGCCTTTTATGACACATTTGCAGCCCGCTGCCCCCTGGCCTAAGCACAGTAGCAACAGCAGCAGCAGCAGCAGCCGCAGCAGCAGCAGACGTCGTCATCATAATGAGCAAATGGGCGCCCCATAAAAAGTTGCCAGCGCTTTTAGGCAGGGCCCAATGTGCGTGTCTGTGTGTTGTTTATACATATATAAAGATATATATACGTATGTGTGTGTGTGTGTGTGTGTGTGTGCGTGGCTTTCGGCAACCCTTCGCTTGATGTATTGCTGTACGCCTTTGGAGTGAAGACCCAACTTGTTGCTGCTGCCTTCAGTGGTTCCCTTCGCAGCGGCTGCCGACTTTGGCTGCTGCCCGCTCATCGAAACCTTTATGTGTGGACCGCCAGTCCCCCCTCGGCCCACCTGTCTACCTGTGTAGCTTTGATTACCCGAAGTTCGTTGAACTGCCTAGGCAGCCCTCGCTTTTGGCGCGTTTAATTGACAGCCTTGACCTGCTGCTGCTGCTGCTGCTGCTGCTGCTGCTGTATAAATGTGCCAAAATTATTAATTACTTCCAGACAAATGCCTGCTCGAAATTAGGCTAAGCAACCCCTTTTATTTGGGGGCCAAGAAAATGCCATGCAAAGCAGCCGCAGCATCGATTTTTCTAGCCATAACTTGATGCTGCGCGCGCCCTCGAGAACAGCAACAAAAACAATTTCAAGGTTAAACGCACCTTTCTAGAGAGAGAGAGAGAGAGTGAGAGTGAGAGAGAGACAGAGAGAGAGAGAGAGATAGAGCCAAGCTGGTGACAGGGGCACAGGGAGGCAGGCACAGGCGGAGGCACAGTCTGTACCCCGCGCATGCAATGTTAATCTTTGTTTATTTTGATTATCAGTTTCGTGGTGTTGCCCCAAAATGTGGCAGCTCTGCTGATTACCCAGTGTTGTGTCCTTGAAGCTTATGACTGTGGCGGCAGATTGCGTGACTGAAGAGCTGACTGCCTGACTGGCTGACTGGTTGACTAAATGACTGAGTGCCCAGCCTTGGCCTTCTGGTGTTAGGTGTTGAATGATTCACAGGATGCGGAGCTGCGAGCATGTCTGACGGCAGGATTTGCTGTTTGCTGGCTTATAGATACACACACACACACACA